TATATATATATATGTATATGTGCAGGGCAGAGCAGCGGGGGTATAAAGACGAGCAGTTCATCTTTTTTATGTTTTTCTTTTTTTAATTTATTATCTAAAGAAGGCCAAATACAAAAATATATATCTTCTCCGTTGCTGCTGCAGCAGCTGCAGCAGCGAAAGTTTAATTTAGTTTTTTTTGTTGTGCTGCTCTCCTTAGTACCACTAGAAGCATTCATTTATCATGAGGTATCTCCGCTGCTGCTGCTGCTGCTGCTGCTGCTGCTGCTGTTGCTGCTGCTGCTGGTGGTGCTGTTGGTGCTGCTGTTGCTGTTGATGCTGCTGCTGCTGTTGGTGCTGGTGGTGGTGGTTCTGCTGCTGCTGCTGCTGTTGGGGGTTTTGGTTTTGTTGCAGTTGGTGTATCTGCTGCTGCTGCTGCTGGTGTATCTGCTGCTGCTGCTGCACCTGCTGCTGCTACTTTTTCTGCGTCTACTATATCTGCTGCTGCTGCTGCTGCTGCTGCTGCTGCTATTACTGTTTCACCTGCCGCTGCTGTTGTTGCTGCTGCCGCTGCATCTGCATCTGCTGCTTCTGCTGCATCTGCTGCATCTGCTGCATCTGCTGCTGCTGCTGCTGCATCTGCTGCTGTTGCTGCTGCTTGATCTGCTGCTGCTGCTGCTACATCTGCTGCTGCTGCTGCTGCTGCTGCTGCGTGTTCAGGGCCGTGTGCGTGTGGCTCGTTTTGCTTACAGCTTAGATTTGCGTTGTCTTAATAAATTTACACACAAAACAGATTGTCTCTCAGCAGCACACTGGGAGGGGGAGCTTGATGCTGCTGCTGCTGCTGCTGCTGCTGCTGCTGGTGCTGCTGGTGCTGGTGATGGTGGTGATGGTGGTGGTGGTGGTGGTGGTGGTGGTGGTGGGGATGGTGGTGGTGCGGGCGGTGGTGCTGGTGATAGGCCGCGTGCTGCTGCTTGCAGTGCAGCAGCAACTGCAGCAGCAAAGGCTGCTGCTGCTACTGCTGCTGCTGCCGTTGCTGCTGCTAATGCAGAACCAGTTGAGAGAGCTGACGCAGATCCCTCCTATCCTTCACCAGAAGAAATCCTGAAGCAGCAGCAGCAGCAGCAGCAGCAGCAGCAGCAGCAGCAGCAGCAGCAGCAGCAGCAGCAGCGGGAGATACTTGGTGGGGATGGTAGCTTGAGCAGCACAACAGCAGCAACATATCTGTCTTTTGCTCAGCTGCGTGCTGCACTAGCTGCAGCAGAAACGAATGAAAACAGCAGCAGCAGCAGCAGCAGCAGCAGCAGCAGCAGCAGCAGCAGCAGCAGCAGTGTTGCGTGGAGCTGTCTTTGGGATCGTAGCTGCGAGGCGATCCTAAAAGTATTATTATGTTTAAGTATGCAGCAGCAGCAGCAGCAGCAGCGTCTGCAGCAGCAGCAGCAGCAGCAAGAAAGACAAGGGTTCTTGCTGCTGCGTTTCTCGCTGCTGCCTGATACAAAAGGCAAAGTATGGGTCACCAGTGTGAGGCCCCTATCTGCTGCTGGGGGCCCCCCTGAGGGGCCCCTACCCCGGGGGGCCCCCAAAGAAGAAGAGCTTAATGGGCTACTGCAGCTAATCAGAGATACTGTTGCTCTCCTCGATCCCCCCGCTTATGATAGACAAAAACTTATACAGGTAATACACATATACTCGGGTGTATAGGCAGCTATAAAAAGTTGCGGTGTATAGGCAGCTCGAGAAGCTGGGGTGTATACGCAGCTCGCTGGTTTGGGGTGTATAGGCAGCTCTATAAGTTGGGGTGTATAGGCAGCTATAGAAACTGGGGTGTATAGGCAGCTCTAGAAGCTCGGGTGTATGGGCAGCTCTAGAAGCTCGGGTGTATAGGCAGCTCTAGAAGCTCGGGTGTATAGGCAGCTCGCTAGGTTGGGGTGTATATGCAGCTCTATAAGTTGGGGGTGTATAGACAGCTATAGAAGCTGGGGTGTATACGCAGCTCGCTAGGTTGGGGTGTATAGGCAGCTTTGCTCCTTATGTTTTTTTTTTGTTTTTTTTTTGTTTGTTGTTTTTCTTTTTCTTTTAGTTTTATTTACAAAAATTATTTTCTTTTTGTTTTCTTTATAAAATAATTTATCTTTTTGTTTTCTTTATAAAACAATTTCTTTTTTTTTTATAAAAATTTCTTTTTGTTTTTTTTATAAAAAAATTTTTCTTTTTGTTTTCTTTATAAAATTATTTCTTTTTATTTTTTTCGTTATAAAATAATTTATTTTTTTGTTTTTTTTATAAAAATATTTTTTGTTTTTTTTTTTTATAAAACAATTTCAGCTTATTTGTTCGGAGACGCCAGCTGCCTGCGCCTCACCGCTTTGCTGCTTCTCTCCTTCCTCAAAGAACAGCAGCAGCAGCAGCAGCAGCAGCAGCAGCAACAGCAGCAGCAGCAACAACAGCAGCAGCAACAGTGGTTGCTGCAGCTGCTACAGCTGCTACAACTGCAGCAAGAAGCGCCGCGGTAGCAGCAGCAGCAGCAGCTCTTGCTGCAGCAGCTGCTGCACCACCACCCCCACCACCACCCCCAGCAGCAGCAGCAGCAGCAGCAGCAGCAGCAGCAGCAG